TCCAAGAGGGGACTAACAAGTTCTTCGCTGTGATGCTGTGGGCAGGAGGACGGGGCAGGATGACAAACGTGACAGACAGTGGCTGTCAGCTCTGCTGCAGAGACAGCTCAGCTGAGGAGAGAGGGGGAAAGGGGCACCTGGAGAGCTGCCTGGATGCCTCAAACCCCTCTCTATTTGGAGTTATTCAAAGAGAGTTGCAGAGTGCTGTAAAATCCTCCAGCTGAACTGATCCCTGGTGCACAGTGATGGAAACCAGTCGTGTTTCAGCTGCAGACTATAAGCAGCTCTGTGCTCACATTCCCAAAATGAAGTGGGCAGCTTGGCCAGCTGCTCAGGACACGGGCAGCCAGAAGGATTCCATTCTCCATGCTCAGTTTGGGATCAAGGGGGGGCGTTTATGACAGGGAGAAGCACAAGGTTGTGCCATAGGTTCATCTTCTACCTCCACCTTTTCAGGTCAGTCCTGGGGTACAGGGACACCCTGGACCTTGCCAGCTCGAAGGCAGACTTGCTCCCCACTGTTCAGTTCAAAGACACCATCCCCTCTGCAGGAGCCATGGGCTGGGAGGGTGCCAAGGGGTATGGACACAACGTGCCAGCCTTGCTTCAACTCCTTAACCACTGAACTTGAGGATCTCAGTGATCCATCCCAACCCAAACGGTTCTATGATACCTCCCAGGCCGTGGCTGGAAGAGGAGCTGAGGTTAGCTGGACCTCCACAGGACTCTTCACATGTTCTTAAGCCCTCAGGCCACCAAGGAAGGCCAAGGGACAAGGACAGGTCCAGTTCCCAGCACGCACAGCCCAGCTGGAATGGGATCCTGGGCATGAGTGTGAACATTCCTATCACCTCTCCTGTGAAAAAAGGCTGAGAGAGTTGGGCTTGTTCAGCCTGGAGAGGAGAAGGCTCCAGGGAGACCTTCTGGGGGCTGCCAGGACTTCAAGAGAGCTGTCAGAAAGCTGGGGTTGTTGGGACAGTACAAGGGGGATGGTTTAAAACGAAAGAGGGAGATTTAGACTAGAGAGAAGGAAGGAATTTCTGACCCTGAGGGTGGTGAGCCCCTGGCCCAGGCTGCCCAGAGAGGTGGTCACGGCTGCCAGGACTTCAAGAGAGCTGTCAGAAAGCTGGGGTTGTTGGGACAGGACAAGGGGGATGGTTTAAAATAAAAGAGGGAGATTTAGACTAGAGAGAAGGAAGAGATTTCTGACCCTGAGGGTGGTGAGCCCCTGGCCCAGGCTGCCCAGAGAGGTGGTCACTGCCCCATCCCTGGCACCATCCCAGGGGAGGTTGTTTGGGGCTCTGAGCACCCTGCTCTAGCTGGGGATGTCCCTGTCCCTGCAGGGGGGCTGGATGAGATGACTTTCAAAGGTCTCTTCCCACCCAAACCATTCCCTGATTCTGTGATTTCCTGCAGCAACTTGGTATTATTTGACAAATACTGATCTCTGCTGGCCCTGCCCCCCAAGCAGGGCCATCAACCTCCTTCCACTCCCTCACATCTGTCATCTCCCTTGTCTGTTGGAGAATCAACCCTGACAATTGCATAGTTAATCTCCTGGCAGCTGCAAAATGAGAGGGTGAGCTCTGGCTGCCTGCAGGAGACGCATTGATCTCTCAAAATGACAGATCACCTCCTCCCTTGATGTTCAAGCAGAAGCTCAGGGCTGGTGTTATGGATCCTGCCTATCAGTCAATTAAAAAAGCTTAGCAGGGAGACACCAGCTGAGCGTGTGAGGCAGCACTGAGGCTAAGCCCTGACCCAAAGATTTCATCACAGGGGGGATGGAGGAACCCTCCGAGGCAGGAGGCCTGTGATGAGACACTGGATGTGGTGCTGAGCTTGTCACCATGACCCAGAGGAGCCAGTGTCCTCCACAACAAACCAGCTGACTGGCCAGCTGGGCCCCCAGCAAAGCAGAGCAGGAAAATCCCTTCTTGCCCAAAAGGGAGCTTGCAGCACTCCATGGAGCAGTTTATGTCCTATTTCAACACGTCTCTTTAAGGAGGATTATGTGTTTAAGTTCACAAATGTTAAAGTTTAACACCTTGTGAAAGAGCCTGAGAGTCACTGCAGGGAGCAGAGCTCTGGAGTGTGTCCAGCCTCGGGTGTCAAGAGTGAAAGAGTCACCCTTAAAGGGGGAAAAATAACTCCCTAAAGGGGTGCTAAGGAAGAGACCTTTAACATCCTGAAGTCCAACCCTTCCCCATCCCTGCCAGGTCCCCACTGCCCCGTGTCCCTCACCCCACATCTCCACGGCTTGGAAACCCCTCCAGGGGTGGGGACTCCACCACTGCCCTGGGCAGCCTGGCACAGCCCTGGGCAACCCTCCAGGGCAAGAAATTGTTCCTCAGGGCCAACCTCAACCTCCCCTGGGGCAACTTGAGGCCATTTCCTCTTGTCCTGTCCCTTGTCCCTTGGGAGCAGAGCCCGCCCCCCCCCTGGCTCCAGGCTCCTGGCAGGAGCTGTGCAGAGCCAGACGGTCTCCCCTGAGCCTCCTTTGCTCCAGGCTCAGCCCCCCCAGCTCCCTCAGCTGCTCCTCCCCACACTTGGGCTCTAGACCCTTCCCCAGCTCCGTTGCCCTTCTCTGCCCATGCTCCAACACCTAGACCAGGCTTTTGCCAAGAGCTGCTGGACCAGCTGCCCCTCGATGAGCCCACGGCCACAGGGGCAGCAGCTGGTGGGTGCTGGTGTTTTGGCTGCTGGGAAGGTGCCCCAGGAGAGGGCTCAGCACCCAGCTCCTTGTCCCCGGGCGGCTCCGGGGCGGGGGCAGGCGGGACCCCCAGCCCCAATTTTTTTTTAGCAGCCGTGGGGCGGGGGGGGCCAGCAGAGCTGGGCTGGGGCCACTGGATGGAGCTCCTGGTGCCTGGCAGGGTGGGTCGGGGTTCAGCGGGGTGGGGTGAGGCCCCCTTGGGTCTTCCCAGGCTTGGCTCATGCCAGAGGAGCGTGAGGAGGCTGCCCAGGGGTGA